AGTATTCGGAATCTTTGTAAGAAACTAATATTCCTAGCTAGCCACAATTTCCAGTTACCTCCACGATAAATATTTGTTATAAATCTCCGTATGTAAGATTTTTTTAATACATATTTTCACTTCTCAGAGCTCCGTGTCTAAACAGACTGATAAACGAAATTCCACTGACTCTTGTCAAACGGGGGATGCATCTCGTGCATTCTCTTTTTACCTTCTCTGCCCTTTCTCTTCGGCCTTCCCGCGACCGTCCTCGTACCGATACTGTAAACAGCCGGCGAAAAGAACCTTTGCCCGTATGCAAACCGTGCGCCCGTCACTGCGTTTTACATACATCGCTGTGGTAACGGGCCAACGCGAGCTGCATTCGACCGGCGGCCGCCGCGTTGCACCGTGAAATCCCGCCCCGAGAACGCGACGACGATGCGACGACGCTGCGAGAACGTTCGTTCGTTCGCGGTTCCTGAATATTCCGATCGGATAACTGTATATCGGGTGCACGCCCGTTTATGCGCGTTACACCGTGGAATTTGTCTCTCCCTAACGGGGATGCTATAGAAACGCGTGTTTCATATAAAAATTTAACAAATTGTGCAAATTTAGGTTTCAACTTGTAATCATAGTTATCTATCAAGCACTTGAATCATACATTATTAAAAAATCAATGGATTGGATTTTTGAAAATTATTTTCCAATCATGAATAGATACAAGATTAATGGTACGGTGTTTGAAGGGTTAATCATTGAATAGGGTTTGTACAGACTCGGTGTGCGACATTGAATTAAGTAGATGGTAGATCTAATGGGAAAGCAGAGTGATTACAATGTGCGACTGTTAACGTTTGACCTGACACGCTTGGTACTTACATATTTAGCTGGCGGAACGCGTACAATCGCAATTTACATGTGTAATGCGTTGTGCGAGAAACATGTTGATCCGCCTTTATATAAACGGAATGCGTATCGATTCGAACGAATCTCTATCTACGATCGAACATAGCCACTTTGTCAAACTATAAATTCAATAGATAGTTTCTAATTCTATTGTTGAATTAAATTATTGGTTTGCTATACTGTTTTAAAATCAGCCGGGATCTCGGAATTTTTTTTTTGGTTCGTACTTTCTGTTTGCGATGGAAAAATTTGAACGTTCGGCTCAAACCGGGAGGCCCGTCGCGAAACGCAAAAACTTTCCGCCGGTTGACCGAAGAAAGAAGCAGAGAAAAAAGAAGAAAGGTGCTGGAGAGGAAGAAATGAAAAAAGGAGAGAAGCCGAAAAAAGAAAAGAGAAAAAATGGAAAACGACGAAAGAGGTACGCGGACTGCCGCGTGGAGAGGAAGAGGGGACGGTACACACGGTACGGCGCGATGTACGGTGAGACAGGGAAGTAAATAAGTAAATAAACCAGCCGGCTTAGCGAGGAGGTGTCGCGATGCAAATAATCGTCTCCCTCGAGGATCCGAGGCGCGAAAGTGCACGTGTCTGTAAATATGCATACGATAATACGCGCGAGCTTTTCCCCAGTCCCTTCTTCCTTTCCGTGCCACCTCTGCACCCCGCCGGTCCGGATTCTTTGATATTCTTGGACACTTCTCGCACGATGCCGTACTCTCTCTTTCGCGTCAGGACCGGGCGTTAAGTAATTTGCTTATTTCGTTTTGCTCGCCGCTAATAGCTCCTCCATACACTGCCACGGTTTCCTTGCCGATTCGATGCCTATCTTTTCCTTTTTCTATGCCTTCGACCAGTTTATGATGACGTTTGCGCTAATGTGCGATTAACTGAGACGTCATGAAAAAGATGTTAACTAGATTCTATGCGCGCAAAATTTTTTTCATAATCATCGATTATTTTTATTGCCTCGGTATTGACTATCTTATTTCACGCGGAGAGGAACAAACAAACGAAGAGTAGATTGATTTTATCCTGAATCGTTAATTACTAGAGAGTAAAAAGCTAGTTCCCTGCTGACGCGTTCGTTTAATGCAGTTGCTAATTAATTACATCGAATCTAAGAGAATTCTAACCGGAGACCCTCGTGCAGGAGGAGCAACGGTTCTATTCGTCGCCTCGGTGCTTTGTTGCTGTGACTGGTAAAACGAGTTCCAAGAGGGATGCAGATTCTCCGTTTTTTCCCGCAGTTGGATCATCAATAACCGCGTCTCATTAATTACTATCTTACTGAAACACGGGAAAACGTTTTGTCGCTTGTCCAAGAAACGATAGAAAAAGATTGATTGAACCACGGTATAGATAGATGCAATTATCTGAAAGTTTTCATTGGTTTTACTGTTAATTATAAAATGACACAGATAGAATATCACTGTGATATAATATCAATCGATTTTCGATGATTCACGAGTGAAACTTTAAGACATGCCCGGATAGAGCTGTAAATTCGTAAATAACGAACGACGTGTTCGACGAATAAGAGGCTGTTTGCAAATCCGCGCGATGTAACTCGGTTATGATTTATGATTCATGTGTGTGACGAGGGTCAACCGTGGATGGAATGCAGGCGGCCGGCCGCCACGCCATTACGTATATGTATGTACCTACTGTATAAAGCATTGTGGTTCGCGAATGGGCATATATTCGCGAGGCACGTGCTCGTTAAAGGGAATTACGCTTCGCCTTTCATGCGTTACATTGTCTTATTCATGCGTTTATTTACTACGCGTAATACGGGACGTCAGACAACCGTCAATGCGATCAGACGATCGTGATATAATCGATCAATCCGAGTCATGAGATAATTTTCAGAAGTTACTTAACACACGGTACCTGTTTCATGAAAAATTAATAAACGTACCAATAGTTTTTACATAATTATAATCCAAGAGTAATCGTATTTTAGAAGAGTATCACAATTGTACAGAAATTTTTATAGAGAGAATAACATTGAGGACTGTCCGAAGCATATTCTGAGAACTGTGCGCTTTAATCGTTTCTCTCGAGAGGAAATTAAATGCAAATATTACTAAACAGGCTCAGTAAACAATTTTTTTACCTGTCGTTTACGCAACAACTATTATTGTACAATTACCGTGAACGATTCATCTTGAATGTCAAAAACGATTCATCGTACGCAGACGTATCGTTCGATTTAAGAAAATAGAATGTAACGTTATGCAACGAGGGTCGGTAGTCAGTTAACCTGGCGTAGCATTGACACGGTGTAGGTGCTGATTGAAGCACGGATACGTTCGATAGCTGACATGATTACCTTGATATCTGCTTACGGTGCAAATATGTATGACATAGGTAAAATACTCGACGTGAGATACCTATCTCTCCTCCATTGATCACCTTGCTCGATAATTTACATTAATCGTTCGCGAAATTATATGACCAAATTAATTAAACTCGTTTTAGCCTTGAACGAGCAAACTATTCTTTCCAACATGTCCCAGCCACGCGTTCCCATATGTTTTTCTAATAAAGACGCAGCGCTGTATACTCATTAGTATAATATTCTCTGTGGTACAATTTGCGTAATGCGTCTTAACAAATTCAATTGCCCTCGCTAAGCAGATGTGCCTCTCGACGTAACGCTACACACGCTGGCGACGAGACCCAGCATCGAAGCCTATGTACAAACAGCAGTCATTCCGAATGACAGAACATTATTACTGTAAACCTAATACAAGTCTGTTACACTTATCACGCCTCATTCGCTTCATAAATTATCTGAAAACTTCTAGAGAGAACCGATTCGTCATAGAATCTTTAAAGTACGACCGCATCATCGTTGAATGGGTAAAAATTGGTGAGACTTGCGTAGACTTAAGCACCGTGTCTAACAGCATGGATCGCGTTACGTAGCGTGAATCACTTAATATTAATCTAGTATGGCCACGTGGTATAGACACAGACTACGACCACACGTAGGAGTGATACGATGATTGCCTCCGATCGCGGTTCACGCGTGCACTAGGAGCCCTAGACCAGACGTGGAATGTACGTCGGCCATTTTGTACGTCAGACGTCCGGCAGACAAACAAATATACGAGTACTTACTCCTACGACGCTCGAGGATAATTCTTATTCAACCGTGATGCGTGCTGGATCTATATATAGGTGGTACCATCGCAAGTAATGTTGTCTTACGTGGCGTCACATAACCATGAAGCCAATCAGAGACTGTTGGCCATCGTTAAGCTCATGGTAGAGGAAACAAGGAACTGTATCGAGTCAATTCAGAGAGATAAAGTTATCATAGAAAAATCATTGACCTACGCAGGCTGCGCGTTTTTATGCAGAATAAAACGTTCGACGTCATTTGAGAAGATACGATCGAAATTGAGACTCGATCTTGAAAACGTTGTTATTTACTCTAAGGTGGATGCACGCAACTGCGTAGCGTTTCGTAGGGTGCCGGAATGAAAAATGAGCAACGGGGGCCGGTCACGAATGGCCCGTGAGAAGTGGGCCATTGACCCAAGTAGGTGTAACGACACATTATTGTCGTAATCGCGTCTGCGGGCGTCTAATTCGTCGATTGAACCCGCTTCTGGCCCATTCGCACAACTATGCGTCTTCTGTCCGTTCCACTAACAGCCTGTACGTTTCACTGTCACATGTCATTGCGTAACGCGCACGTTCGCCGCACAATGGCTCGCGTTCGCGAAAATCAATCCACATCCGTGACTTCGCCTGCCACTCGATCTTCCGCTATGAGACCGAGCTCTCAAGGTCCACGCATAGGGAACGATCGTGAACTTGCATTTCTAATTCCGTTTCATTCATCGGTTTTCTTTTGTGGTTGGCAATTCAATGTATGAGATCAACGGTAAATTAAATGAGAATTGGGATGGATGAGCGATTTCCCATTCTTTCGAATAGCATTCAATGTAATTATATGCCGAATTCAATGGTCAAAGGGTTGATTATATGCTTTGTTATAAGTCATATCTTATATCTCTTTTGTTCTAATTATAAAATCTAAAATACACTGATAATAAGACCTGATTTAGGAGGCCGTATTCTGTTTCGTTTTACAGAGAACGCGGACTGCACGACGATCCGTTGCCGCGAGGGACAGACGTGTCTGACGGAAATGAAGTCAGGTCGGCCGCGTTGCGTGACCTGCACCTATCGTTGCCCCCGGAAACGCGAGCGCATCCGAAACCGGACGCACCGCGATCGCGACCCATCGGCGACGATGCTATGCGCCACCAACAATATCACCTATCCCAGTTGGTGTCACATCGTCAAGGACGCCTGCGTTACCGGTTACGTCCTCGAGACGCGACACGCCGGCCCTTGCAACGCCTACGACTCGTCGCATCTCTATATCGGTGAGTCCACACGCGATTACGTAGATGATAGTTGAACTTCTTCTGATGCCACGAAACTCCTTTTACGCTTCAATAATAATTATATTCTTTCCACGTTTCTTAATTCTTCTATTTTATCAAATAGTTTAATAGAACTGGCAAGCTATTGGAGCGATGTAAACGCAACTTTAGAAAAACAGTTTGCTCTTGACGAAGCAATGGTTAGTACTTCTCGAGCGGACAACAGCTTGGATGCTTTCACTCCGATTTCATTTCTCGTTCAACGAAAGAATCGGCGACGACGTCTGCCCGTTTCCCATGCCGTGATAAAGCGGGATAGGCGTCTGGTCATTTATCTATTTCTCTCGGAGGCGTGGGCCATTCACGGAGCCGCGCCGTGCGTCCGCGAGCCAGTCTGATCGTCGTAATCCAGCCTGGAATTCGCCTTGCTCGAGTCGCTTCTCCGAGAATATATACCCAGTACGTACATATGTACGTGCGCCCACGCGTCCGCTTGTCTCGCCCGTTTAAATACAATCGATCGCGAAAACTCGGAGAGCTAGCTAGAGTTCGCGGGATTCTAGAGTCCCTGGCTGATTCTCTGTAATACTTCCTATGGTCAAAGTCCAAAGAACTTGAATTATTTCTGAACGAAACGCGTGATTAATAATTAAACACGAAGTATATTTCATTATCAATATCGATAACTGAATTAGTGGATTCTATGATCTTCTTGTTGACAGATAATCCTTCCTTCATTTCACAGATTCATAAAATGTATTGTTTGAACGCGAAGCTTTCTACGATTCCTTCGCTCATTCGATAAAAAGCTTTTGTTCGCGCGTTTAAGTAGACGCAACAGAAACCTGTTGCATGTCGCGCAGAAACGGGAGACTCTACGCATCACTTTCACCACCCTGAATTATAAAAAAAATGCAATCTAGATAGAAATGCCTCTTACCGTTTAAGGATGTATAAGCTATACATA